GTTCAAAAAATATTTGCGGTAGCACATTATTGTGTTGTTGTGAGAAATTCTAATGTATCACCCATATACAGCTGACATGGTATCCCGAACCAATCAAACGTTTATACCTCATTAAAGTAAGCCAACTCATCTTTAACATAAAAACAACTAAGCACAGTTTAACGGAGAATTTCTACGGTCTTTCTCTCATCTTCCCTTTCAGTTACTTCTCTAATCCTTCTCAAATCTTCCTCTCATAATTTCTACAGAATGATTCATTGTGGTTCCTGAAAGTTGCTTTTTCTCCTGGACTCATATCCAAACATTTTCTTCTGTCTCTCCACCTCCCTTCATTCTGACCTTCAGTTGAAAGTTTTTGGCTTTTGGTAATGGAATGTAAGCCTAAAAACATTGGAATTTTTTTTTTTTTTTTTTAAGATGTGGCGGAAATGTTGAAAGGCAAGAAAAGGGATGTCGATGACAACCCAATTTTTGTTTCCTGGCTAATGCATTTTTCTCTTTTTTTTTTTGCCCTTTGAACGGGGTAAGTTTTTTTTTGAAAATGTGGCGTTTTTAGTTCTCTTAATTCCCTTATATAATTATATAATAATTTGCGCGTTCCTTTCTCCATTCCAAAATTCCACAACCTTGTAAGGAATTAAATATTCTATTTGTTACTTTAATCATCCATTAGTTTATCAGTAATTCCAAAATCCCCTTGCATCAAGTGTTCCCAAATCGCAGAACCCATGCATGTGAAACAGTTTTTGGAAATTGAGGGTTAAAAGGGAATATGGGATCTAGTGGAGGCAAGCTTCTTGGAGAGGTGGGTTATGATTGCCATGGTTGTCAGAGACAAAGTAGTGGATGGAGGAGGAAGGGGAAGATCTGGGGAGGATTAGAGAAGAGAATACATCATGGGGGAGGTGAACTAACTGGTGAGAAAGGGCGTGGGGTGAGACTCCGTTAAACTGTATCATTAATGTGTGTTGAAATGTTTTTAATGAATTTAATGAAACGATGAAGTGGGCAAATTTAATGAGGTGTCATTGTTTGAGTGGTTCGGGATACCATGTCAGCTGGTATACCCGTGATACACTAGAATTTCTCGTTGTGTAACTTTGGTCCAATGATCTATAATTAATGGAAAAAAATAATTACGTCTCGGCTAAAAACTACTACTAGAATGGTACGCATTAGTTTTTATTAGCCACATTTGTCCACTCCACCCCTCTTCCAACCTTTCGCTTTTGGATTTATTCCTTTTCTGTAACTTGATTGATCGATCATGGATTTATTTATTTATTTATATTAGAAATATTTATCACTTTACTTATTAGCATAATAGAAATTTAAATTTTTAATTTAGATTATAATTTAAAATTTTTAAATTAATAAACATCAGCTCATTCAAACTTTTATTAGTAATTTTTTTTTTCTTTCTAAGTTATTAGCATAATAGAAATTTAAATTTTTAATTTTGCTGTTTGATACTTTGGTTAGAGGGTTAAATTTATCCCAAAAAAAAGGTTTTTACTAAAAAAATGATTAGAAAAATATTGTATTAAAAAATAATAAATTTTATAGTAAAATTTTGTTAAAATTTTATTGAATTGTTAGTTTTTCTATTTTTGGTAAAAAATTAGTATAGAAAAAATAGTAAAAAAGTTAACAAATAGGTTTTATATTGAGAAAGTTGAGAGGAAACTTCTTTTTTCTTTTAAATGTGAAAAAGAAAAATATTTATGAGTTGAGAATTATATATA